CTTTATTTCATCATGAATCTATGTATACAGATGCATGTATAATGGTCAACTACTCATTTCTGAGTGCACATATCTGCTAGGGCTGCTTACGATGTAACACTTCAACTCAATCCTGGTTCACAACATTTCAATCTTATCCTGGTTCACAACAGAAGGCCACAAATGTAACCTTTCATCACAGTCAGCCCGGGGTGGATCCGGGTTTGATCAATGGAGTGATCTCTTCAATCCTGACCTGCCTTACCCCACGTGATTTATATATGGTGTTTTCTCATTGCTTTTTCTAGTTTGCAATTCAGAGATTCCTTCTCTTCAATTGGTTGCCACAGAGTTCGGTCTACCCCAGCCTTCCTTTTTGCAATGGTATTGGTTGAACCACCAACACATCTCGGTTACCATTTACTTTAACAACAGGAACAAATTTACATTGTTTGGACTGCTGTTCTCATCTGTATTCACAACATTTTGGCCATTTGGTTTGGAGGAAAACACCACTTCACAATCTTTCCCAAGAATACATGGCAATTCACAGATAAGAAAGAAAATGAAATTGTGGTGAATCATGATCCTGAATAGACAGAAAAAATGATAACCTGTTACTGAATGAGAATACGTGAATTAGCCACAAGTCTTCCAACAACCATATATCAGTTACAAAACAAACAAATCACAAGTCCAAACTTTAAGATCCAGGAGCAGAATGAAATGCCAAAATCATGAATCACAGGTCCAATGTCAAAAATCCCAATACATGTAAATAGTCAGAAATCCAACGTACAAGGCAACAGTCACTCACAAGCCAACAGACGTGGTAGAAAAATAAACTACCCCAATTTGAAAACATCAACTGCTTTTACCGACAGAACAATTTTTTTCATTGGTTGACAGTTGGAGAGGACAAACAATATTAGCATATCTGAGATGTATTTATGGCAACACCTGCGACTGACTTGTTTCTCTTTTGGTTAGTTTGCCTTCAGCATATCATACAGAACACACATGCTCTTTTTTCTCCATAAGTGACTTTCTCTTTCACCACAGTATATTTGTTGGTGCAGTTAGAACAATAGTTCTCAATCATTTTCTTGTCCATACACTTTGTTTGCTAGATTTCAAAATGTCATTTCCTTCCATATTTGTCTACCTCAAAAGGTTCATTGTAGAATTGTAATTTTTAGAAAGATCAATGTTCCAGCAGCTTGAATCTGCCAATTATGATGCCATATGCCCCTCCCTTTGAAGCCCTAAAATTCCCTTCCCTACTTCTGAAGCCCTAAAATTCCCTTCCCTCCCTATGAAAACCCTAAAATTTGTCTTCCCTCCCTCCAAGCCCTAGTTGAGAACTAGTGCATTAAAACAAGTAGATTTATTTGGCATTTGTTTATGCATTGGGTGTGCTGAATCAAAAGATCCTTAACTCTGCCACATGATTGATTTGATTCAGCTGACTTATTTACTACAACTCATATTGTGTGACCAACATAAAATAGTTTTTGTTATTTATTAAATGAAACCACTTATTTTTCTTTATTTAAATATATTGAACTTGCCTTTTCTTTTTCTTCCCTTGTTAGATGTTTCAAAATTCTCTTGGTTGTGTCTTCATTTGTTTCATTCTGTAGGGAAGGGTTTCTCAACCTGGATAATATCACCCACTAACGGGTGATTTTAACTGTTGAGTGGGTGATTAGCAACTGAAGAGAAAATGATGCATGATAGGAATTTTAATTTTGAGTATTAAAAAGGTATACCAAAAAAAAACAAAAAAAACATTTGAAGTAGATATGCAAAGGAACTATAAAAAAACAAAAAAAAAAAAACAAAAGAGATGACTAAATGAGGAATAACTGGATAAGATATAAATATCTATTTCCCACTATACCTTCATCTATGTTATTATAATTGAATGTTTTTAATTTCCACTGCAGTTTAATGTATATCATTGGAATTCCTATAGTAGAAGCTGTTCAGAAAATGTAAAAATTTTCCAAATGTTCAGGCATTGAAACAAATGGAAAAGGCAACAGAAATTAAATTCATTAAATATTGGAAAGAAGAAATTGCTTTTTTTTTTCTATTTTGGTAGAAAAACAAAAAAGTTAATGTTAAAACCACTGACAAGAATTTAAATTATTTCATTCAACTTCAGAACATATATTTTAATATCAAAATTTTATTCGCATGCATTAATAACTTTCTTTTTCCTTTTTCATCTGATTTGATATTTTAATATTTTTTTCCTATTCATTTTGCATTTAATGACTTGTGATTGTTTTTTTGGCTTTCCTTATTTTATTTCAAAGATTTCCTCCCACTCCTCACTCCATGTATAAAAAGTTTTTATCATTGACAAGATTCCTTTCAAATATGGTGATAGATTTTCTTAATGAGAAACTGCCATTTGTTGATAAGATGTAGGGGGTGGGGCTACTTGAAAATTAAGGGTTGTGGAGGTGATAACATGAAAATTATGTTATCATTTCCCCACCACAACCCTTACTCATATTTATAGTGCGTAACTTCTTGTATGAGTGGATGCTGAAAAGTTCTCATCCCAAACCAAATTGCAAAATCAGTATTTCAGTAACCAATCTGCAGAATACTCATTTGTAGGGGGGAAGGGTTGTCAAACATGAAAAGTAGAACAAATTGAAAAATAAACTACCAAGACCCCCCCCAAAAAAAAACCTGTTCAGCCTTCCTTTATTCCTTCAGAAAATGTTTGATACAAATTGACAGTTGACCACTACTCTCTTATTGTCCTAAATTAATCTTGTTCTATTTTCTCTTTTTTTTTTTTTTTTTTTGTCTCGATTTCCTTATATGTAATATCTCTTCCTGAACTCTGTCATTTTATTTACTATTTATTTTTTTTCCTACTCTGTTTCCTCCTGGAGTCTAGTCTGTTTCCTCCTGGAGTCTAGTCTGTTTCCTCCTGGAGTCTAGTCTGTTTCCTCCTGGAGTCTAGTCTGTTTCCTCCTGGAGTCTAGTCTGTTTCCTCCTGGAGTCTAGTCTGTTTCCTCCTGGAGTCCTAGTCTAGTCTTTCCTCCTGGAGTCTAGTCTGTTTCCTCCTGGAGTCTAGTCTGTTTCCTCCTGGAGTCTAGTCTGTTTCCTCCTGGAGTCTAGTCTGTTTCCTCCTGGAGTCTAGTCTGTTTCCTCCTGGAGTCTAGTCTGTTTCCTCCTGGAGTCTAGTCTGTTTCCTCCTGGAGTCTAGTCTGTTTCCTCCTGGAGTCTAGTCTGTTTCCTCCTGGAGTCTACTTCAATTCTAATGCCTCTGACTGAACTCTTAATGTTGTTCGCTAATTAAATCTTGACCTAAAGTCCAGAGTTAACTGTTGTCTTCCCTGTATAGCCCCAAGAACTTCTTACCCTTTTTTATGCTTGTACAACACCATCTCTACCTTGAGTGGCTCTTGGGCTTTGTATTGGGTGAACATTAATAAAAGAAAAATTCTCAAAGAATGAAAAATTTGGTACCAATATTCAGAGAACTTGGTTACTTATTTTAGTGCATCATTTTAATTAAAATTATTGCCGCATGATGCAAATAATAATCAGTGTATTATTTAAACAAATTAGCTGTAATATTAATAATTCTCTTTATAGCCATTTGTCCCTTACATTATTCCCAACTAAGACTGTTTTTACATTTTTGTAACTGCTTATCAATTGAAGATAACTTTAATAAAAACATTTTACTAACGTGAAAAGTTGTACATTTTATGTTAGACCAGGAACTTTAGCACATTCTTATACATTTTTTATTCAATTTTTAATTTATTTTTTTTTCATTTTTTATTTGTATTTTTTTATTCAATTTTTTAAATTTAAAATTTTTTTTTTTTTTTTTTTTCATTCGTTTTTTTTAATTTATTTTTTTAATCACTTTTTTTATTTTTTATTCATTTTTTATTCACTTTTACTTTATTTTCTTATTTTTTATTCACATTTTAATTTATTTTTGCTTGAACAATTTAAACAGAATCAAATTTCATACTTTTGTTGACTAGAAAATCAAAATGTTAACACATAAGAGAAATTGAACAGATTACTTTTAGAATGTCAAGTCTAGCAACAATCTCTTTATCTCCTTCTTCTCTCTTCCTCATCTCTTTCCCTTGCCTAGGTACCTCCACTTAGTTTTGATACCATGGTTTAAAATTGAATTTTTATAAATGAAAAAGCTTTCTTGAAGCTTTTTTATCTGAAAACAAATGTATTTTTATCAAGATTGTCTAAAACAAAAAATTTCAATCATTTGCAAATAAGTTCTAAAACTTTCATTAAAATCTAACAATTATTTGATTTTTGCAAGAATTTCCAAATCAATGTGTTTTTTCACCAAAACACTCATCATAAATATTGCATTGACCACTGATGTAAAAAAAAACAAAAAACTTTTAACTAAAATTTTAAACATGTTAGAAATTATTAAAAATTTAATAAAATAATTAAAAAAAAATACTTCGGTCTTTCCTCTTAAACACTTTGATAATAAAATTTTGTTTTTATTAAGTTTGGGGCTTTTTACATCATGCTATGCTGTTTATTTTTTTGTTTTTTCAGCAAAAAAATGGAGGTACATCTCTCTCTCTCTCTCTCTCTCTCTTATCACTGTTATTCATTCCTTCTTCTCCACCATGACTTTCTATTTCATTTCCCCCCACTCCTTATTACCACTTTTTGTTCTTTTCATATTTCTTACTCATTTTTATTTCTTAATTCCTATGTTTTCATTGTCATCCCATTTTTTCTATTTCCTCTTCAATTCAATTTTTTCTTTTTTAATTTTCCTATCCTTGACATGTTTCTTAAAAAAAAAAGAATATTTCAACTGAATTGTCTGTAAACATTCCTTTTTTTTTTTTTTTTTTTTTGTACTTTTATTTTATGCTACCCATTTGGTCTAATTTCCTTCTCTCCCCCTTTTTTTTCTCTCTTTATCTCTGAACTTTCCTTTCTGTTCTCTTTTATCTTATTTCCTTTTCATTCAATATTCAATGTATATTTTGCTATCATCTTTTATTTCTTCTCTCATGCCCCCCTCCCTTTCAATTTCCTGCTTTTCCAAAGGCATCCTTTTTATTTTTATTACCTTTTCTTACACATTCACTCGCTTTTTTGACTTTTATATCATATTTTCCTTTATGCATTTTCTTTTTTATTTACTATTTCTCTCTATTTCTTTTTTTGACTTTTATATCATCTTTATTTTCCTTTCTCTTTCCTTCATCTTTTTCATCTTTTTATCTTTCTCTTTCCTTCATCTTTCTCTTTCCTTCATCTTTCTCTTTCCTTCATCTTTCTCTTTCCTTCATCTTTCTCTTTCCTTCATCTTTCTCTCTCATATTTGTATGCATTGCTGCTTTCAATTCCTCAAGCTCACTCATGCAATGAAAATGTTTTCCCACAATGCACTGCAATGTCATTTTCAAGATATTTCAAAATCTTTCTTTTCTCCAAAGGAGAAAAAATATGGTTTGGTGATAAATAACAGTTAATTTTTTTTTTCCTGACTTTGTCTATTTCTGCTCAATTTTTTTTTGTCAAATTTTTCATCCTAAATAAACATTTACATCAAAATTTTTTTTTTACCATCTACATAATTAGATTTCAGTTTCCTTACAATCTTTACATATACATACACACATGTGTATATATATATATATATATATATATATATATATATATATATATATATATATATATATAAAATAATAAACTAACCCTCATGTTTATTATCTTTTTGAATTGGGTAGAATAATTGGGTGAACTTTATTTTCTTGAGAGAATTTCTCTTTATTTTTTTGTATCAATGTATACAAGTCTTACTCTTCTTTTAATCTTATTTTTTGACATTTGATTTATTTTTCAGATTTTTTATTACCCTTGAATATGTGTATATGCGTGAGGGAGGTGTCCCAGTATGTGTTCGTGAGCTGGGAGGTCCCAGCCCATTTCTCAAAATCTGATAGTGATATTTGTTCAGCTTAGTTTTACTGGTCACAAGTGTATACAGTAGTAATGGTCTGAAAAGTTAACTTGGGTGTGGTTGTACAATTAGCATTGTGACCAGAAATAATCTTTAAAATTTTTTTTTTTTTTTTTTTTTTTTTTTACCAGTATTTTTTTTCTTAAGCACTTCATATTAGAAATATAAAATTAAATTTTATAAAAGTTAATAGGGTGGGCGAGTTTGCTATATAAATTTTTTGTAAATTCACCTTCCCCTATGAAAACCAAAACAAAACCTGCTCATACCACATGATTTCATAAAATGTAAAAATTTTCAAAACATTTTAAAATTGTATCAATTTGGAACAAGACAACAAAGACAGTTGTTAGCAAAATAGCCAGCAAAACAAACAAATTGAAGATACCAAAATCAAACAAGTGCAACAATTTAAATATCTGTGTTTTAACAGAGGACAGAAAGTAGAATGCTGAAATATGAAGGTGCATTGGGATAGCAAATGATGCCTTCCAAAAACTAAGCAAAGTATTAAACAAAATTTCATTAGAAACAAAGAAAAAAAGTACTGAGCTATTACTTAATATCAGTCCTCCTATTGGCAGAGAATGCTGGACAATCTCCACAGATGAAGAAAGGACTTGGAGCTACCAAAATGTGGTTCTACAGAAGGATGTTGAGAATAGCATGGACTGAACATATGAACAATGACAAAGTTTTAGAGCAGATGGAAGCATAAAGGACACTTATATTTAACATTAGAAAGAGATAGTTGAAATTACGAGGACACATAATGAGAAAAGAAGGCTCAGAAAATTTGATGGTCACAGGACAGATTGAAGACAAGTGGGACAGGGAAAAACAATACATAATCTACATAGTGAGTAAATGGATGGTAGAAGGTTTGGATGAGCTAACAAAAAGAAAATTTATTAAGAACTACAAAGGAAAAGAAATTGTGGAGAGCCATGATTTCCTATAACATGAAGGGATATGGCACATCAAAGAAGAATTTGGAGTTCTTTTCTTTTATATATTATGACTAATTAAATATTCCAAATTATAAATGTTAAAATTTTTTTTTTTTTTTTTTAAGAAATTGCATAGGAGCATATTTATTTTTGCTCACATATCAGTGGTCAGTTTACAATGAATTTTATATAGAAAACTCACAGTACTTATTGTAAAATTCCATCCTAGTTTTGTAATTGGTCATCATTGCTACATAGTAAGTGTTGTAGGTAATATTGCTTTTCTTTTCTGTATGTCATTATTGGTATTTGCACCAAACTGATTTTAGTATATTAATGAGTTAATGATGTTCTAATAAGCACTACTCCTAAGAATCAGTGTGTTTTAAAACATGAACTACTGTATTTCCCATATGCTCAGATGCATTTTTTTTCCTGAAAAAATGCCCTCAAAATCACCCTACTTCTTAGCACTGAAAGGTCAAGTTGTAGGGAGGAGTTTGTTGCCTCTCACAAACCAAAGTCACAAGCTCTAGACATATAAGCCTACAATTATATATAATAAATACCATATATCTCGTTAGTATATATTTTAATATTATAATTATATTCTTTTTAAAAATATGATTCCATTGCAACACAGAAAATTCCTGTTTCAAAACTGAAACTAAATTTATAAATTATAAAAATTAAACTTAAAATCCATAGTTTCGTTCCATTGTCAAGTGATGTTAGGAATAACTTTGTAAGAAATTTACTTAATTTATAAGCGTAGAAAGTTATTCTTAACATCGCTTGACAATAGAACAAAACTATGGATTTTAGTGTAATTTTTATAATTAAATTTATAAATTCAGTTTCAGTTTTGAAACACAGAAATTTTCTGTGTCGTGATGAATCATATTTTTAAAAAGAAAATATAATATCTTGCTCTACTGTATCGAGTACTGATTATTTTTTAAAAATAAAAATAATTGCTAAGAACACCACATTATAAATCTTATTGTATATATATATATATATATATATATATATATATATATATATATATATATATATATATATATATAGAGAGAGAGAGAGAGATAGACACTCAATAGCAAATCCACCAGAGCTGAATAAGTAAACCTGGCTGCTGCCCATGAAAGGACCTCCAATTAGTGGTTAACTGGGGCAAGAAATGGCCTTTTAATTTTAACGCCTCCATAAAAAAACTGTTCTCATTTAACTACCATAGAGAAACTTCTGCCTGCCATCAGCATGGCTGAAACTAGACTCCTGGAGAGCAACACACTGCACTTTCTTGGCCTCATGTTTTCAACTAACTTTAAGTGGAGTGGCTACACTGAATCAATAGGTGCATTTACTGTAAAGAAAATTGGGTTACTGTGTCATGCCAAAAAACTTTTCTCATCAGATTCCATCTTGCATGTTTACAAATCTACCATTCATCTATGCATTGAATACTGTTACCATATCTGGTCTGGTGCTCCTGCTATTCATCTCAAGGTTCTTGACAAAACCCAAAGAAGGATCTGTAATGTAATAGATCCTGACCAGGCATCTTGACTTCAGTCACTTTCTCACTGAAGGCTTCCCTCTGCCTTTTCTACAAATATTTTAATGGCAATTGCTCTGACAAGCTTTTTCCCCCCCTTGTACCCCGACTACATGAATTTAAGCATTTTACTAGATTGGCATCTAGGTCCCACTCATTTACTGTTGAAATAGCTGAATGCAACTGTCATTTCTACTCCAACAATTTCTTTTCTTGCACTCCTTGTTTGTGGAATTCCCTTTGTTCACTTGCTTCCCTGATAACTACAATCTTCAAAAATTATAAATGCAACATCAGTCACCATCTTATATCTTCTTGAATCCTGTTCATCTTTTTTTTCCTTTCCTCAATCCTTCCTATACTCAGTCTTTTCTCACACTTTCACTCCCTGTAACCCCTTGCATACTAGTGGCATTTCAACCTTGCTTGGGGTGAAATGATTAAAATATATATAGTTTTTTTTAGTATTGATGATAACCAGTAGGGAGTTCCGACTGGTACTGTAAATCTTTGGTTCATCTTCCAGCCTCATCTGAATAATACAGGCTGACCATTACATTTCATATGTACACCAAGAATACCAACCCTATTACCACTCTTTGCATACTTCTGAATCAAACTAGTTAACTCTACAGACCTTTTGTTAATTCCAAATGTATAGTCACTTCCCATTACCTACTGACATGTTTATTCATGGTGCCTCACCAATGCCATCTGCAGGCAGACAAGCTAACTATTGTCATTGAAGCAAACAACATCACCAATTTTGTTGGCACAGTCATTCAGCAGAGGATACCATTCCATGAATTAAAAGAATGGCATAAAAGCAGAAAAGAAAGGTATACACTGTTTATTTCAAGTTACAAGTAATAGTTTATTAAACACCATGGTAACTGAGCATAACATCGTCCTAAAGTATTTAAAATTTAATTAACAATAACTACGAATATTTAATAATGTGTTTAAAATTATTTAATTAGTGACAAAAAAACACCATTGAGTCAGCAACTTGTTCGTATGGTAAACTATTAAATCCTCAAATTTTTGTTTTTCCAAAATATACTGTACACATCCCAAGTCTCCTCTCACTTGTAACTATCCATCATAATAAAATAAACATTTTTTTAGAAATAAAGCTGAATGAGTCAGTTAGAGTTGTTACTATAATACATATATGAAGCTAATTATAGGGTGTGTCTTATCACTTGTAGCATCTTAGTATACAGGGAAATGTGGTAAGTTTGTTAAAGGTAGTAGATAAAGTCCTAACAGTATTATAGAACAAAAAGCTAGGTATATTTACAGAAATGAACAATTGATATTATTAATAGATATTTTCTCATTAGAATCTGGCTAAATGAAAGTGAATACATTTTTATATATATATATATATATATATATAGTGTTAAGTAGCAAAAAAGAAAAAAAATCCACTCCCTTTTCGAGTATTATTTAAGCACAATTTTATACAATTATTTTTCAAATGTTTGAACTTTAACCTGAAAGAGAAAAAGTCACAAAAAGTTATACAAATCAACAATTTGCCCTTGCATGGAGTATTGCTGCCATATATGGTCTGGAGCCCCTTCTGTTTTCCTTGGGGTTCTTGATAACTTCCAGAGATGGATATGCAATATAATTGGCCCTGTTGTGGCATCTCGTCTACAGTCACTCTCTCACAGACGTGCCGTCACCTCTCTCTGTCTTTTTTACAAATACTTTCATGGTAATTGCTCCGAGGAGCTGCATTTGCTGGTTCCCAGACTTCATGAGTTCAAGCGCCCTACGAGGCTGGCATCCCGCTCTCACCCTTTCACTGTCAAAACTACTAAATGTAGCCGTCTTTTCTACT